CACCACAACATGATATGGTTATAAGATTCTGCATTTATCTTGCATAAAAAACATCAATTAACCATGGTTTTACCCCTCCTCATCAGCATGTCAATTATCAGGATACATTTTTTACATATTTTTCAAGCAAATAAAGTAACTCTTGGAGGAGCCTTCGTCTTCTAAATCTATTTAGCCAAAAAAAAAAGGTTATTTTCATCCGTATTAGTTAGCTCTTGTTGGAGCTTTTTCATTCTTCAAGGCATCTAAAGGACTATATCAAGGAAACCCATTATCAACACTATTATTTATTATCATTATAGAAATTTTTAGTAGATTGTTAGAGAGAGTAAGAGAATTGAATTGATTCAAAGGGGTTACGGTTGGCAGAGGTGACTCTAAGGTAGAGATATCTCATTTGTTCTTCGTTGATAACATTGATTTTTTATCAACCATATGAGAGAATAATGTTCCATCTTCGATATATTCTTGTGTGCTTTTAAGTGGTATCAGGATTGAAAATAAACTTGTAAAAAACAAATTGGTCAGAATTTATGACATGAGGGATAAGAGTTGTCTTATAGGGGTACTGGGGTATAAAGCAGTTAAATTGCTCATAAAATATCTTGGTCTAAGTGCTAGATTTAAAGAGGTGAGGACTTGGGATCCGGTAGTGGAGCTATTTGAGAGAAGACTAGTGAAATGGAAGACAAACTTCTTATCAAAGGGTGGGAGGCTTGCATTGGTCAAAAGTACTTTGGCAAGTCTCCCTATCTACTTCCTATCAATTTTGATGGTGTCTATCAAGATTGGCAAAAAAAATTAGAAAATATCTAATTTTGTTTTCTATGGGGTGATGAGGAAGGTAATAAAGATATCATTTAGTGAAATGGAGAAGTATGAAAAGAATATTCTTAAAAGGGGGCTGAGGGTTAAGATTAATTGTTGAGATGAATATTACTCTTTGAAGGTAGATTAATACGAACTTTAGTGCATAAACAATAGGATAATATGTTTGTTTTTTTGCCCACAAAGAACGATCCTTAATTGTTAACGCTCTTGATTGCCTCTATTTTCTCTCATATGCTAATTAGAGTTCCGAATAATCTTCAAACCCGAAAACTCAAGCTTATTTATGGTTTAACTCAACTTGAGAGAGAAAATGGTAGTATATTATTTTCTAGATGTTATCTTCTTCTTTGTTAAACAAAAGAAATTTTTTTCTCCCTTATGTGCTCACCAAAAATCATATTTTTTTTTACAAAAGCTTTCTTCCTTATAGGCTCACAAAGAATCGTGTCTTTTTTACAAAGGATATTATGGGCATTCCTAATTTTATGCAACACTCTTCGAGATAAATGGCTTTAGAGATATATTAAAAACGATGAGAGACTATGGAAGAGGATGGTGGAGGCTCAGTGGGGTATGGGGATATGGGGGCTTTGGTTAGAGAGGTTAATAAACCATATGGCATGAGTTTATGGAAGAAAATAAGTATGGGCAAACATTTTTTTTTTTGAATGTACTAGCTGGAAGGTTGGTAAATGTGACAAGATCCAGTTTTAGGGATATGAGTGGATTGGTGACTTTAAACTTAAAAGATTGTTTCCTGATGATATTTACCATTGCACATGTGAGAGACATGGTGGTGAAGGAGGCATATTCGGTTGTTTTAGGGGGTTAGGGATCGGATTGTTCAGGTTAATAAAAGTATCAATTATTGGGAAACTGATGAATATCAAGAATTTTTATTTCTTTTGTCTCATGGACATGGACCATATCATAGTTTTTATTTTCTTGGTTTCTTCAATAATAGGGTAAGATCTTTAGTTTATGCTTTGATTGATAAGCACTCTAATTGCTATATTTAGTTTTTTTTCTATTTAATATTTTCTCAAATATTCTCATCTCTTTAGACTATTGTTTGTTGTTAAAAGCTCTTGGCTTGGTACTTTGTCCTATATATACTCTTTGAACTCTTCATGTGAGTTGATTTTTCTCTTTGTTAATGGCTTTTTATGTAGCGCCCGGACCGAGGGAAAAAAAAAAAAAGGGCCACGTCGGCAGCCACGTCAGCAGGCCCGGTCAGCAGGCCCGGTCAACAGTCCCAGCCAACTGGGGCCTGCCACGTGGCAAGACCACGTCGCTCCTGAACGGGCCACGTTGGCGATCCGCGTGGGCGCGATCGGACGGCCCAGATCAATCGCGTGATCGGACGGCCCAGATTTAATCGCACAGACGGCCCAGATTTAATCAAAAACGGATGGCCCAGATTAAAACAAAATGGACGGCTGAGATCAAAGGGCAAGGGGTTATAAATAGAACCCCCACACCAGACCACAAACCCTAGCCGCCTGCCGCTCGCCGGAGAAGACGAACCAGAGGCCGACCGCCGCCACCCGCCGCCGCACCGGGGAAATTTTCGACCGCCGATCGAGGTAAATTTCATACTCCCGACTCGTTTTTCCACGCTGATTCCTCCTATGGCCAAATCGAAGCCAAAATCCCGGCCAAACGGCCGGAATACGCGGCCGAAGACCAGCGGCGCCGCCGCGCCCCCTCTCGGTTTTTCCCTCCGACGAGGCCCTTCCCGGCCTCTGTTTGATGCAATTTTTATATCACCGTGATCACCATTCTTTTCTCTACAGGTTGACCGGAGCCGAATCACCAAAACACGAACCTCACTGGAGAGCCGCCGCACCCGAGAGCGACGCCGCCGGTAAGCTCCGTTTTTCCGTATTTTTTGGCCCCCCGAGGGCCCTAGGGTTGTTTTCTCACAGGGACCGATGCGAGTGTGGCCGAATTCGGCCGAAAACAGCCAACCCGAGGTAACTCACCGCCCCAGCGGCGGCGCCGTCGCCGGAGCACGGCGGAGCCGCCGTGCCGGAGTTGCGATTTGGGCCGAAAGAGGCCCTGGGCCTAATTTGGATTTTTTTTGGAACACGTGCAGGTGCCGTTAGTGTGTTTCAGTTTCCCGGGAAAAATTCAGAAAAATTAGGGACGGCCTGTAGCGCACTGTGAATCGTATTTGGATCCCGAAAACAAGTAAGGACCCCTCACCCTATTTCCTATCACGGTATTAAAGTTCAAATATAAAACGGTATTTCTGAATTAACGCATGTGTGAA